TAGGTTAATGGTGTTTGATTGTGGTAAGGTTATGGATAAAGGTAAGACCTTGGATACCAGCATTTTGTAATAGCAATCGGGGTTTGAGGGTACCGTCGATACGGTTAGCTCAGTAGCAAGCAAAAAAGAAGCTACAACCCCTCTGGCTCACACTGCAGTTTGTGAGCAGCCGTTAACCGTTCGATCGAGGCCACACTCTTAGATTGCTATTTTTGTGGATGTATTTGGACTCCCGTTCAGTTTTACTGAGAAGAGCAGAAGACTAAGGAACTCCTTAAACCTCCAAAGAGAGTCCGAAAGGATAGGGGATGAGGTCTTCAGGAGGTGTAAATCTCTAGAGCTTTGGCAGCCAGGCTAGAAACCACGCGTCGGTTCCCCCTGGTCTAGAGGTTTATATCTCTGCAAGTCACAAGAAACCCTTAGGTTTGGACCGGCCTTTAAGGATCCGGTGTACAGTTGCGTGGATACCATGGGTGTCAGATGCGTAGTGACTGGTTTTATTTCAAGCATACTTCCTCCATCAATGATTAAGACAGGATATTCTGGTTTTGTTGAGGAATCGACTGTTGAAAATGCAACCGGAAACTCTTCTTTCAAATAATTCAGTACTGCTGATTTTTTCTGTTGATTCATTAAATCAAAGTCTACATCGCGATATTCTGATAATACAATAAATCTTCTGATGTCGTCATCGACTTTTTTCAATATGTCCTGGATGTAGTTATTTTTAGTTTCTCGTTTTTTTTTTCGTGTTAATAATACCAGGTACATACAAATCTGTATCTCGCAGACGCAATCGAGGCATAGCTTTAAGTGGCTCGTCAATTTGTACAGATTTCATAACAAAACGTTCTTCGATGTATTTTTTTAAAGCTTCTAAACCCCGGTCATAGGACGTACAAACACTGTCAGTAATATCGTCGTGTATAATTTTACCAGACAATAATTTTCAGCAATGTTCATTTTCACATGTAAATAACTTTTCTGCTGCTAATTTGCAAATAATCGTTATTAAATCATCATTATCTGTCTTTAGCCGCCTTGGTGAACCTAAAACATTAGAAAATTAACTAGAACTTACAATAAGGTACTTAAATTCTTACTACTTAACCGAATCACCTACATGCAGCATGTGAGTCAGTAGTATTATTGGCTGTTTCTAAACCTGCAATCTCGTGGGTAACACTTGTCATTAACAATCTGTATGCAAATGAATTTGTCCATATATTGATTAATTCTTGATTAAAACGACCTGATATCTCACCACTACCTTTTCCAAGTTTGCTAATAGTGCACTCGATGATTTGGTCCATGGCAATTGATGAGAATGGCCGATGTGTTCGATTAACTGCAAATGATCGCGATAAACGTTGCAATAGATAATCAGAACTAATTCGTAAATCGGATAAATGTTGTGCACATAAACGCGCATAATTCCGATGATTGTTCGAAAAAAACAAAGGTGCCATCCGAGATAATGCTGCATTTCGTGCTGGAAAATTTGCTGTTCTAATTGACGTGTAGAAAATGATTAACGGTTCTAACAGTAAATGTAAAACAAAATACCAAAATTTGAAGGTAGTATTTTTTCGAATGGTTTCTATCGTCCAGGCATCCAGTGCTACGGACAGTTCTACCGTATCGACCTGTTCTAACATATTTTTGAAAACCCCTTGTTTCAGTTCATCTTTCAGGAAATTACAATCGTTTGATATATCACGAACAATTAATTTTACTTTATCAACAAATGACGGTAAGGATTTTAAAAACGATTGGATTAATAGCATTGATAATGCGGTGTATAATAATTTACAACACCGTAACGATTTATTGAAATGATGAACAACAAAAATTGATCTTAACGATGCTCCTTTGTAAAAGTAACCAAGTATATCTTCAATGCCTGAACCATCTAGAACATCCCATACGACGATCATATAATTCTTCATAACGTGAAAATCACCTGCATAAATTGTTATACCTCGAAAATCAAAAGGATTTGTTTGTTTAACCTAAAACGTATACAAAATGTCATTGAAAACAGAAATTGAAAGAGATACAATTAATCGAAGAAATATTTACCTTGATACAATTGCGATAAATTTTTTTCATCTACCACGATAACTGCTTCCTTTTGAAAGTGAGTATCAAGAAAAGCAGCTTTCGTACCTAGAAGACAAGCTTTAGCTGCTGTTTGTGAGCTTGGATCCTTGGCTATAGGTGTACAGAAAGTGACTGAGTGTAATGGCTGTTTGTTAAATATCAATGAGTAGCCAAAACACCGGCAAGCAATGGCAGATGAACGTTATCGTGTCTAATAATTTTTCACACACAGCTTTTTTCTCTTCTATGCCCGTATCATCGTAAACAGCATTCGTTTCGTTCGTGTCGCTGTCCTTGTTTTCATCGAAATAGCATAACAACGATAAGTTCGTATATGCTGATAAGTCATTCAACGCTATGTACACTCCACTTCGATTGTTAATTTTAACGAAATGTAACTTATCGTCAAACTTCGTTTGCAGTCTTAATCTAATTGAAGTTGTTCTAATACTTGAGTCCGTTACTTGCTCATTTCTGTGTTTTAAAATGGTTATATACTGTTCTTTCAGTTCGACCATTGACATCAACGTTCCGGTTCCTAATGACTCAAATAACCACCCACATACTTCCTCAAAACTATCGTTGTAAAAGATTGATTTGTGACTACCGTTAGTTGGGAAAGGAATGTGTTCTTCGTCAAGGAATATTTCTTTTTTTTCGTCAAGGAACTTGTTTTTATTATGAACTCTTCTTGTTAAAGCCTAAAAAAATAAAGATAACTGTAAACACCTTGTTCTAATCAAAACAAGAATTACATATTAGCGTTACATAATTACCTTCCTCCTTTGCGGACGAAATTGCGGTGTTGCTGTTCTTCTTAAAGGATATTTGGATAGTGTATTCCCACTTGAATTTACTGTTCTTTGTTTTGAAAAAAAACCGGTATCTAGCATGTTATTCGTAGGTGAAGGTGATTTAATAGATGATCTAATTGGTGAATATCGTTGAGTATCCGCTGTTCTCGTACATATAGGCAGTTGACCACTGTATGATGATAACACGTGATAATTACTTGGACGTGGTTTCTGTTTTTTCTGAATGAACGAGGAACCTTGTTGTCCAGCATTCGATACTGCATGGTTCATTTGCGTCTCATGACCATCCAGTGGCATGGACAGTTCTACCGTTTGTGAAAAAGCATTGTTATGTTGAATTTTTATTTTTTTACTGTTATGAAACGACTTGCTGTTTGAATTAATAATTAATTTTCGCTGAAAAGTAATCGACGATTCACAAGTTTTTGCGGTTGTTGAATGTTAGTTACTTAACAGTTGCGCACAAGATGGTTCAGCTGACTAAAACACAATAAGAATAAAAGCTTGGACCACACAGTGGGCATCCAAGCGGACATTAGGCGAAAAAGTCGATTCTCTTATTTACCAAATATAAATACTGCACAAAATAGCCCTTCCAATTCTCTATCGAATGGTGTACAAATGTCTATTTTGATGTCCACTCCTTCAAGACGAAAAAAGGGCATAAAGGTTGGATGGCGAATATGTAAAAAAGTGACATCTACGAACAAAATCTTAATTTCCTCTTCAGACAATCATGTTAAATTATTTTAAAGTACATAGTCGGAATCACCAAGTCGAGAGCTATCTATTGACAATAAAGTTTGATCCTTTGAACATTTAACCAGTGAAAAACAGCACACGGATTTCTCAGAATGGCATTTCCGTTGAGACTACCTCACTATAGTCTTAACGCCCCGGTTAGCCCCACTGGAAAATAACATCTAACTATGTCAACATGCTCCTCAGACAATACTCTACTTATACTGATCTCACAAAATCTCACATATTTTTGAAGGCCGAATGATGAATTTTTCAAAACCCATACGGATTTTACGGTATTTCGAGGTTTTTCTGGCCACGAAAGCACTTTTATTCAAAAATAATATCATATTGAGAATCAGCGTGAAAAACTGCATTGAATGAGGTATAACTCATCTAGTTTCGGTCGCTTGATTTTGAATTCTAGAAATTTCTTAGTTTTTGAGATTCCCACAAACAATTTCGTGCTGAAAATTTGAATTTCAAGATAAAGTAACCTGAACGACTCGAAACATGTTTCTTATAGGTTTTCGACAATGCTCGTTCCAGTGGCACCGTTTTTAAATATTGAGAAAGTTTTCTGAAGGGTTTCCGAAAGACCAGGTCTCTGGAAAACTCCTTAGAAACCTTTTTCAAAACCCAACTCTCATGCCATTAGAAAGAGGATCATGAAAAATCTATAAAAAAATGGTTCATGAAATTTTAGTTCACTCATAAAGCTAAAGTCCGCCTGCTCTAGCAAAAAATGCCCACTGTGGACCAGCGGGAGAAGTACTCAGGCGCAATTTTTCTGTCCCACCGGAACCCAAAATCAAGAAAGGATAAAAATAATGAAAACAATCAAACCTGCATTGACCTACTTTCATCAAACGTCTTAAGCGGACTACTCTGCAAGACAAGTTCTACCTGTGATTGTAAACGCTTTTGAGAAACCCAATCAGCCAGTTTCTCCAATTTATTTTTCGGATAATTTTCACCGTCCTCACTATCATCGTTGAGCAATCTTTTTCGTTCCTTTCGAGTGACGTTTGAACACAAACTTGGAGATTTTTGGAGCCATATCGATAACAGGGAAGCACTTTTAAACATTAAATCACGGAAAATGCGTCTATATATGTAATATAAATTATGTGCGTCCAATCGTAAATAACGCATTTTTGAACTATCATGAATATTTAGGCTACGTAAAGTAAAAAATAAGGGTTATTCAGTAGTAAAACTTTTTTTCTACTACCATGAGTAATCAGCCAGCTGCCAAAACTTTTTTTTTTCTAACGGTGTGAATTCCAAGATATTATCGTTACAATATTGGCTAATAGTGGCTAAACTGGATTTTTGTACTCATGCGGTTAATAGTTGATAGCCAATTTGCACATCAATTAAATTTTGTATCTGAATACCATGTTTCTGTAACATTAACACATCGTTATCACAACCATGACCAATCTAAAACCAAAAACTGAAAGAAACTGTCTAAATAGTTTTCTATTGTTTTGTTGCATTACCTTTGCAACGCGTGAACAATTAAAAACACGATTAAACTCAACCATTTGTTGCCGTATACCATTTTCTTGAGTGTGTATGATGATGTCTTCGCCTGGTATGGAAAATTGCATGACGGCAATGCGATCCATTACATACTAGAAGTGAAATCTATATCGTATTGATCAGGTAATATATAGCATTTCCACTTAGTTCAAAATCAAAACTAATAATACGTGATTGTTCAAGTTTACAGAGGATCCCATGCAGCTGTTCTGGTTTGTTTACGAAGACTAATTTTGTATCTTTCAATAGACTGGGTGTCTAAAAGAGAACAATGAACGTTTTTCTATGTAGTTCAAAGAAGACAACAGAAAGTATCACTTACTGATAATGGCCTAGTATCATCACCAGAATCTTGACCATCGACGTAACGATTTAGTGGATCCAGATCATCACTTGTACATTTATGATGTGACTGATCTTCCTTTTCATATTGTGTTGTTGACAAATATAAACGGTCACTATTATTAATTATGCGAACTGTCGCTTTTTCACGAGTTAAATTAAACATCTCAGACAAATAAATGACGATTTAAGATATACAACAGAGAACGAACAGCTGATTCGAGCGAGGAAAACACCAGAGAAAGGAGGAATTGCTGATAAACACTTCCATAGCTATGCTTTTTACACTGAAACAGTAATGGTACAATACATAACAAATTTATTCATAAAGAAATGCGTACTACTAATGAGCATTCGATTTTATCATAATTATTCTTTTAATAAGCGTGGAAATACACGGAATCACGTCGATTTACAACATTTTGTAGAAGTTTTTGACTGTGTCTTTAACAACGTGTCGAAACATCACATCTTCCTACACACACTGCAGGCGTCAAGGCGCTGTACGGCACTTTGACCTTCCAACTTAACGGGTGCCATGGTAACTGTTCATCAGCATCTGCGTTCACAGCATACACGAGGATCCGGACCGGATCGTTCCCATTCGATTTTTAATTGCTGAAAGAAATGAGTTAATAAAACAAGAGCAGTCAAAAAGCAGGGGTGAGATTTCACCTGAAATACCTGGAATTTCCAAAAAGTTTTATACTAAAAACGATTTTCTTCGATTTCTACTACAATCAGAAACAGTTTTATTATAAATGTCTAATTAATTACATCAGTACAAATCATATCCTAATATACCTGCAGATCCTGCCCTATATATACGATTAAAATTGACTATATTGATATAAAATTGACTTTTTTTTTAAACTTGAGCGAAAGTCGTCGAGTAAATAATTGTTTAACGAGAAACTGTGTTCGACATCAGTACTGCTTTGCGAAAAAGCCAATAGATTTTTGACTAGTTTAGTAACAATCGATATTTTGGTGCTCCAAGGGTAATGACTTAAAAGACATATAGATATATATATATATATATGACTAAGTGGTATGGCTTATATATTATCATCCTTCTATATACTTGTATGCGTTTCTTTGTCTGTGTCGCCTTTACTGTGTCAGCAATACTTTTTTCTATACCTACGTACCAAGATATTATCTAGAGATGTTTCATCATGGAAAATGATTTAAGAGACGGTTCGCGCGGCTATTGAGAAAGCGTGTATCATGGTCAAAAATTAAAACGTTTTTTATGATCTCATTAGATAAAGCGTTCAGAGCAGGGGCGTCTGTCCCCACCTGAATATTTGAGGCATTTTGTACAACCTCGAAGGTTCGATCACTCAGTGTACCACGCAAAAAATTAATTTCTACAGCAAAAAAGCGTACCACCTTACGTTTGTTTGAGGCATTGAGCCTCAAACGTCCCACAGGATGGGTGCCCATGGTTCAGAGTTACTCATAAACCCAAGTTTTTAAGCCTTAGAGCCTAAAATTGAGTGAACTACCGATTTTATATAAAAAGTCCGATAAAAACAATCGAAAAAGTAGACTTTTATCATATTTTAGTTTTTCTTATTTTATCCCGTTTTTTAAAAATCTGTTACACATAAATCGAACGAGCAGAGAAAACTGAACAAGACAGGCTAGTTTCAAGAGGTTCAAAGCATAAGTTCGCGGTCAAAAAAATTCAGTTCACAAGAATATCATATCCTTTAAGAAAAGAAAAATAGAGCACCATGACACTTTTACAAGAGAATTGCTCAACATGTCGAATGAAACTGTTTTTTGGCCTCCTGAATTTTTTTGAAAAAACTTGAAAAGTTTTCGCGCTCACGTGAAAAACTTATCAGGTATTTCGAATTTTTTACTCTCACCCCTGCAAAAAGTCATCCTTGAATAATTATTTTCAGCGACAAGCCCATAATCATTAGTAGAAAAACACAGGTAAAGATTCACATGTCTGTTCTCACGCTTCTTCCGTCTGTAACCAAGGCTGCCAACAGCATATTGCCCACCGCTGGAGTCTCGATTAATTTAACTTGCTTTGATGCGGAACAATAAGCTACGTTGTTACTGTTTTAATGTGTATAATAAGAATGACTAACTAGTACATTTTTTTAGATACAGCACGACATCGACTGCACAATCTTTTCCCGTCGGATCAACATACATAAAAATAGAAAAGATTATCGTTCTTTTCTAATGTCCAATAAATAGTGTCAAAAAATGTACAGATAACAAAATTTAAATATGTCATTTTGTTTTTGTTCTCTTCTGTATACATACAGGAAACATACTATGCATACTGTTGTACAAACGACATTAAGTAAGAATAATTTTTTCAATGTGGAAAGGGTCAACTAACTATAAGAACGTAATTATCTTTACACTAATGAGCTCTACGATACGCAATTTTCGTTAACAGGAAAAAATTCTTAATTTAAGGCTACTTTTGACTAACTTTAAAATAAGATCGCCCCATCTGAATGTCAACTTAAGTATCCGTCATATATAGGGCTGCCCTCACGAATCAATAGTATAATTACTACCAAGAATATGGGCAAAAATACAATGCATCTGTGTTTTTTTTATTACTACTATTCTCGGTAGGATTTCTATAAATTGACGACTTACGATTTTTTGTGAAACACTATTGTTTAACTGAAGTTATGTTAAGTTCCTTAAGTATGTCTCTATCTTTGTTTAAGTAAAGACTAAAGTGAATAACTTAGATTTCTTGTGGTACGAGTCCAGGTACAGAGTCTAATTTCAACCTCGAATTTTTACGCGACAAATCCAGAGTCCTTTTTTTCTGAAGTGAAGGGTAAAGCGTTCGTCTCCTAGTTACAGATAGGCACGGGAGTTTTACCAGGACTAGAAAAAAACCTTATCGCTCAACCATTTCAAAAGCCAAAATGTTTTTGAATCATACGTTTCGAAGAAGTCACTTGTAGTTTTGATTTAAAATGTTGCGCAGCTTTGAGTAACGATCCGTCTCAGAGAAAAAGCCCACGGGGCCAAAAGTCTACCATGGCTGAGACCAGTCTGATCCGGTGGGCTTTTTCTCCGAGACGGACCGTTACTCAAAACTGCGCAACATTTTAAATCAAAGCTACAAGTGGCTTCTTCGAAACGTATGATTCAAAAAATTTTAGCTTATGAAATGGCTGAGTGATAAGGATTTTTTCTGGTCCTGCTAAAAGTCTCCTGTCCATCATTCCTATTCCCACTGATGCCATCTATCAAGTAAGACGGCCTCTGCAGTGAAGTTAGCTCACTTTGAATTTTCAACGTTGTCTTCGAAATTTCGCAATTACTTTAGAGATTTAATAAGGTCCCAGTAATTATGTAATATGTTTTATTCCTCGAAATTGTGTTGCATGTATGTAGTGTGTTAGAATCACCAAATGCATTTGTGGATTTCCAATTTGCCCATTCCATACTTTATTCTATCTCTATGATCACATACCATTATTTTTGGGAAAAAGAAGCGCTCTACATAGAATTTAGGCATGTCGGCCATCTTGAATTCTATTGGTTTGCACACAGCACAAATAGAATAAGCATACATAGAAACAAGCGCCATCTTTAATTATTTTTGACAGTGGCGCGGGATGAAGATGAAAATTATATGAATAGTGTAAATCGATATGGAGATCACGAATATCGTACTTTTAAGCCGAAATTTCCTCCTTGTCATGGACCTCTTCCGGTCATATGCAATAAGTTCTTACTGATTGATTATGTCCTTGTGCATATATTTCAAGCTTACTAAATGCTATTTCAGCTGTAAACGAAGTGAAGACTTTTTTAACTGAATGGAAGAAATTATTCCATGTACTACAATTTTTCTTATTCTCATTGTAACAGAGCAACACCTCTCCGTTTAATTGGTATGATATGATACTCAATTGATTTTCATCTGATATATGTGCAATCTCAAATTATTTTACAAGCTTCTATCTATTTCACATCCTTTCTTCTGTAACTGAATGTTTTTGGACTTTTGACTAGATTCAGGAGGGTCGCTTTGGTGATCTAGTCAGGAGTTCAACTCTTGTCTTCTCCACCAAATTGTGAGAGTGCTGTCAGTCTCGACGATTACTGTCTCAAACTCGTAGCTAAAGGAAGAGATCAGCAGAAACGAACCCCCCAAAAAGACTTTTGCAATTGCTACATGGAATGTGTCGCTGAAAGCACGCATCAGCATTGAATTCTTAGAAAGTTTAAGTACTTGAACGTTGACACTTGGGAAAACTAGTTAGATTGGAAAATAATTTTGTTTTTTGTAGACTTTTGGTGCGAACCGTAAATTTCTTCGCTGTTATATCAGAGAGAATCTGAATTTATATGCTATATTGTTCTTGTATTCAAATC